GTATGTTTCTAGGTCTGACCTTGGTCCTGGCTAACCAATCAGGGGGCTCATCCTTGGGAAGACTAATTGTCCTTCTCTGAGAAGTTGTTTGGCATTTATAAGATGAACAATGTATAGAGATACATGATTTTCTTTTCTTCTTCTAAGAAAATATTAAATTATTTGTTGCACAATAAAACAACCGTTCTTGCTTTCACATATTTCCACTGTTTTCTGTGTGTGTGTGTATAAATTAGATATAATTTTATGAGTATAAAATCAAAGACATTTATTTTAAAGTTTTGGCTTGGGTCTTTACATTTACTGCCATTTTTTGGTTTAAGCCTGGAAACCACACATTAAGGTTTAATACTTTGCTGTCATTAAATCCTCAGGTCAAAGGTCAAAAGTCCTTTCCTTGCTTTTGCAGACCGCCATGTTGTAGAGCTCCACCTGTCCCCTTTCAAGGACCTCCAAGCAGACCGCCATGTTGTAGAGCTCCACCTGTCCCCTTTCAAGGACCTCCAAGCAGACCACCATGTTGTAGAGCTCCACCTCTCCCCTTTCAAGGACCTCCGAGCAGACCGCCATGTTGTAGAGCTCCACCTCTCCCCTTTCAAGGACCTCCGAGGGGAGATAGGGTCTCTGCTGGTGGTCTACTCCTCAAAGATATACACATCCACATTCACCATCCTCACTTCCTTAACCCACTGAAATCTGCCTACGGACTTTTAAACCACGTTCACAGAGGTCATTACACACGGCCTTTTCACTGCAAAGCTCAACGACCCCTTTGAATCATGTAGGTCCTCATTTAGTTTTCTCTTTCTTGTAGCTTTCATGTCCCAGGCTTCCCGTCGTCTGCCTGTGGTGTTTTAAAAAAATCTTTTCCAGGTCTGTTTTCCTGTTTTCCCTTTTTACTGTCTTCAAAAATCCCTGCAACTTTCTCTAAGTGTTGTCCAGGGCAGGCATCAGAATGGGCAGCTGAGACCTTACTATGAATTCAGAATTCAGACTCTACTCCAGACTGGAGAATCCACTTTGAACAAGATTCTCAGTGGATCGAGCCCCTTGCACATTGAAATCTGAGAAGCTTTGCCCTCAAAGATGGTCCCTAAGGGCCTTTCCTTTGTCCTTTCTCTTAGAGGTGGACATCTGCACCAAACTTTTGTCATTTGTGTCCTTATGACTTTCACAGAAATCCTTGAATGCGAGGCATCCCTTTGATACGTAACTACTTACATATCTCATGGGCACCTCAAACTGATGTCTAATTTTCATTTTCTCTTCTGTTTGCCCAAACACCCAAGAAAGAAACCCATTATCTTTGGCTCTTCCTTCTCCTGTCAGTGGCATAGTAGTACAGTGACATTAGCCATAGAGAGATAGAGAGTGCCATGTGAAAAAATGAAATTAAATGCTCTTGATGGTAAGTCAACTTTTCCTCTCTGCCATGCAGAACGAGGGGAAAGCTGTGCTGAGGTCAGCTGTCTGACCAGGTTTGCTGTAGCTTCCTGAGTGAGCAAGGGAATGTGAAATGTTTCCACTGAAAAACATTCCCAAGCCTAGCATAGTTTAGTTTTTTTTCTTCTTCAGTAGTTTGAAATCAGAGTAGAGGAAGAATTGAATTCCAAGCAAATTGGTAAGAGTGGAAGTGTGTGTTTGGGGTCTATATTTTCCTACTGCCAAAGATGACAATAATGTATATACATTCTAGTTTGTGCCTTCTGACTACTCTTAAAGGAAATGGACACCAGACGTCTGTTTTCCTATTGCTAAGGTGATGTGCCTTCAGGAGAAAACATTTATGTTTAATTTTCTCTTATAGAGCACTACTTGCACCTGAAAACATCTATATTTGAATAAATGTGCTTGTAATTAATGTGCTTATAATTAGTTCAAATTATGTGTGGAGTCACGAGACTGATGGTTGCCTCCTAATATCTGGCATCCTCCTCCAGGGTAGGAGTCTACTTGACTTAATGTGCTTTCTTCTGAGATCATTAGCACGAAGAACTGTCTTAGAGATAGACTCCACAGGGCTTAGCATTCCTAATGTCCCGGCCCTCCCTTTGCCTCACACTGTGTGAGCATCCCCCCAGGTGATAGGCCTCAACTGCCACTTCCTAGTTAGGAAACCCTCGAAGAACGTGCCAACTCTTCTCGGACCCCCTGGGCCTCATTGCCCTAACACACAGAGGGTCTACATGTCTGCTAAGCACGGCCTGATCCAGGCCCCACCTTTATTATACTAACCCTTTTATCATGAAAGCTTTATTAGAAAGTTTGTATTTCTGTGTCTGCTAATATCATGAGTTGTGGATCCACAACCATTTACTCTCTGGGCTTCATAAAGAGCCACTGTCTGTAACACACTTTGTATGGGGAAAGCGTGTTTGGCACTGCAAATATCTAATTTACTAAAGCGACATTTGCTGCACGGCCGCCTGCATGTGTAAGTGAATGGCTGCCAAGGTACGTGGACTGAGATGAATCAGGAATCAAGAGCCTTGAAATGAAAAATGGATTTGGTCCCTAAACATGGCTGTGACTAAGCATGGGAAGAGATTTAGGCATGTGAAGCCCATAGATTGTTGTCTGACCAAATCTGGTAACAACAATATTCTAAGCAAATAAACTTCTGTTTAGAAGGCAGTTTGACAGTCACATAATGTCCATTTAGCAAAACGACAACAGTGGCTTCTTTACTCAGGCCTGTGAACTTCCTAGCCAGGTAATTTAGAGTAGGTTTATAGTACCAGATGAGAATTTGAATTCTCCATTGACACGGGCATCAAATCCAAATTTTTAAAGTGGTTGCTTCAATAGCTGACCTACCGCTATTGTATCAGTAGGCTTAACCTGAGTGTTTGATCAGCAGTGTAGCATTCGGGGTCCGAACCCAGGCAAGACCATGGATCACAATTCTTGCCCAACCAGCTTACATAGCACTTCTGGTAAGAATAGAAATAGCCACCAGTGAGGACACTTCCAGCTCCGGTCCACATAAAGTTCTTTCTATGTCTTGGGACCAAGGTATGTGGCATCTTCAGCAATTGGGTCTTATCATTTAATTCTGATGGGCAATCAACAGCAGTGGCAGTTGCCTATGTTGTTTTGTGGCTTTGGAAGCCTTTCTGACTAACAACTTGTAGGGAAGTAGCCTACCCTTCCCTGGTGCTGGGTTCTTGTCTAATAATTTACAGCTCTGGGAAGCACCTTTATCTAACTACCCAGGGCACCTCCGTTCAACCTCTAGTTTAAGTTTTTGATTAGCTTGTCAAATATACCATATTCGATTATGATACATTGATGCATATGATACATACATTGTTAGTTTTGTGTCCCCCCCCCCACCTCTTCCAGCTATGTCCCCATTGCAGAGTGCTGAACATGTCTTATCTTTTTCCATGGTAGGTTTCTCTGTTCGCATTTTAAAATTAATTTTTTAAGTTAGCATACAAAGTAATAGGTTTCATTATGGTATTTTCATACATGTATTATCATACTTTATCTTTTTAAAACTCTTTTTGTTAGCACATACTCATTATACATGATAATGGGTTTCATTATGGCATCCACTTCATGGCAATTTTCAAGAATGGTTTTTTACCTTTCTGCTAGTGTTGGGCAGAGCCCAGATTACATGGTTATGTTCTACACCAACCTACTGAACACCAGCAGTAGGGGGCTCTTCTGTGTCTTCTAGGCCCAAAGGAGCCTCTACTCCAGGTTTAATGAAAACATTATCAGTGCCTTTGAGATGGAGACGACCAGGAACATACCCATAGTTCAGCAAGGCCAGTTTGTAACAGTGCAATGAAGAAGAGCAAAGAGTCATAGGACCGTGAAGGCTGCTGAAAACGGATGCAGGATTTGGGTTGGTATTAGATGACATGGGGGAGCATTTAAGCTCTATGTTAGGGTCTGGAAATAGGGTTAATCCCCCAGTTGTAGAAGAAGAGTGACTGGATAAAGGCTAATGTTGCAAATGGAACGGCAGCAGCAATTCTCAGATCAGCCAGGATGAGGGAGATGGGGTAGGGTCACCTTATTGCTGGGAAAATGTTCACAATTGTGTGTTCAGACCTTGTTTTGGAGTAGCCTTGTTTTTGTCCTGTTCCGTCATGGCCATGGAGGCCTTGCGTAGTGTTGATCTGCCATGAAACGGTTGACAACATGTAGTAGAATTCCAGAGCAGGGGTGTGGGTGTCGGGCCAGCACCCCACTTGTGCTTTGCGCCTTCTCAGCATTGAGTTGATTTTCAGCAGCATTGTGTCTTCCTTGTTTGATGTCCTGGGTGGGTGGGAAGCAGCTGGAGGATCAGGACCTCAGAGCACTCATCTCTGATCTCCCCTTCCTCACACTGAAGACGGTCTGTGGTTTCTTTGCAAGGCTGTCCTTTGATCCCCGGAGGGTAGTTGCCTCTAACATCAAGGGAGCATCCTAATTCTCTCCTTTCAAGTTGAGTTCCATGGCAGGAGTCATAACCCAGTTTTTTTCCTTATGCAGAGTGTAGCCCATTCTTTAAAAAGCCTACTTTACCAGTAGGAGCAAATGAATGCTGTGACGACAAAATCAAAATTCTTTATTCCTCTTCATTGCTTTTTGAAACCAGTCACTGTGACCATTTCACGAGTAAAATTATTCATAAGGCTTTGATAAAAAACCATCATTACACTCAGTCAACCATACCTACACCACTTTTTTTTTTTTGCTAGTTACTTATAATTAACAATGACATTTTATTTTATTTTGTCATTTTACTTGAATCTGTACTCTGGCATCAAAGGGAAATTTTTAATTTTTAATTTGTAATTGGTTCGGTATAAAACCCAAACAGCTATTTATTTATTTTAAAATACCTTTTGACAAATATAAGGAAACTCCCTGTGGGAAGCAAAAGGATCCTTTGCCCCAGCTTACAGTGTAATATCTCTTTTGAGATTACACTAATGGTATTGCAATAGCAGTAAACTTTGCATGGGCCAATGAATCTTAAGGGAGAGGCTGTTAGAAATGAGTGATCTAGCTAAAGACTTAAAACAAGAGTGAGTCTTCCTGGAGCAAAGAAAAGCCGGTTGGGTCTTCCAAAGCTGTGGTGAGTTAAACAATTATCTATCTATGGTCATTTTCTTTGACCTATAAACAGGATGAGGGAGCAGCCACAGAGAAGAAGGTAGCGCCAGTGTCTGGCGCAGGGTTGACAAGCAGACACATAAACAGAGACTGGGGAGGAAACTGTGTTTACATCACTCAAAGGGAAGCCCTAGACTCTGAGGCATCTGGGGACTTTGGTGTCTATAAATAGTCTCAGGTTATTTCCAGCCCTGGATAATAGCTATTCACCAATAAATGTCTTCTTTAATGTATTGTAAATTAATCATTGTTTGATGTTCACGTGCTGTACATTGATTTCCACAATAAGTATGTGTAACTCTGTAAGCAACCAACTCAGTAATTTAGTATACTATCACGACTAAGAATGCCACTGCAGGCAAGGGCCTTCATATTGGTTCTTGTGGTGCTGATGGTAAGGACTATGCTAAGGAAGGTAGTTTTTGTAAAGAAATTTGTAGTTAAAATACATACAGGTGTGTGCAAACATGTGCGCATGCTCACGCAGGTGCACACACACACATACACACATACACACTTGATTAAAGTAAACTTTTGTGACTTTTGTGGATTTACTGTAGTGATAGAGATTTAGATATCAGATTCGTATTGTAAGTCAGTAAATTATATTATTGGAATACATGATTGTAAAACTTTTTATTAAAGAGAGGCCTTAATTTTCTCTATTTCCTTGGGTTTTTTTTCTTTCTTTCTTTTTTTTTTTTGAGAAAGACTCTTACTGTGCAGTCCAGGGTAGCCTCAAATTTGCCTCTTTCCTGCCTTGGCCCCTTAAAAGTTGGGATTACACTCATATGCTAGTATGCCATTCCTTAACATTTTATGAAGGTAAAAGTATAATGTGTTCTGCCTCCAAATGAAAAGATACCAACTTTCATTTTGCAACTATAAAACAAATATGGATAACTAGTTGAGACTAAGGACTTTGGAACCAGATGTTTTTGGTTTGATTATTAGCTCCTTGTATAAAGTGTCTACAGGGTTTTTTTTTCTTTTTGTCATTTACTAAAACAGGGACAACAATGGTGTTCACAGAACTATGGTAGCACTTAAATCATTTAATGTAATAAAACACCTGGAATAATGATTAAACTGAATACCTACTGTGAATATCAGGTACTTAGATTCTAATCCTCAGAGAGGGTTGACTGGCTATAAAAATGGATTTTCACAAGCATGTAAACCTGACAGAACAATCATGATATACTGTAGCTGGATGTGATGGGACATGCCTGTAATTCCAACACTTGGAAGGTGGAGGCAGGAGTTCAAGGCCAGCCTTGGTTGCTCAGCTTGAGTTTGAGGACAGTCTGGACCACAGAGAACCCTGCCTAAAAATCAAATGAACATACACAATCATATAACTGAAAATGGTTTTTTTTTAATGTGATAACCCTGGCTTATTGACAATTAAGTAAGAACCCACCCCGGGAAATGAAGCATAAGAAGGAGCCCTGAGATTTTAATTAGTTTATCTTGTCCTCCCTATGACTTCTTAAGGGGAACGGCAGTTTCTTTGTATAGAAATCTTTCTATTTCTATCTCAAAGTGGGAGGACTCCCAAAGCAAGCATTATTAAAATAATTTCAAAATGTTTATTTTTAGAATGAATGATGTATAATATCAATGACAGAAAATACTTTCTTAAGCATAGAGGACTCTGTAGGAGAGAGAGGATATATGTAGTCATTGACCCTCATTTTCAAGGCCCATGCAAGGTTTAGAATAAACTCTATAGTGACATGGTCCAATTGTAGTACTAAGACACAGTGTGGACTATTGTGGAAACCATGCCTTACCAGGTATTTTGCAGGGCCCTGTGGAAGCCCAAGATTTGACTTGACACTGACTTGTAGCTGTTAAGCACTTCTTTAAGCAAATGCAATCTGTTCTAAGACATCAACTATGGGCCTAGGGAGACTGAGAGCATTGTCTCTTGCACTGGGGGAGGGTGTTGTCCACTGGCCTTTCTTAAAGGAAATGAAACTGACACATTAGCTCAGTTGCTAGAAAGCCAATGGAGAAAATTCTAAATATATTAGTATGCTCATACCTTCTGATTTGAATATTTTTAAATGTCATAGCTTTGAAATAAAAAAACTAACAGTCTCATTATTTGACATCAATCACCCAAATAATAATAACAGCTAAAACAAAATAAGGGCTTACTGTATACTTATTACATTAAGTCATGACTCCAGGCTTTACATAGGTCTTATTTAATATTCACAGTAACCCCAGAAGTGTAATTATTAACTCTGGGCCCTACAGCATGAGTGCTGGTGGGATTCTAGAAGCTAGAAAACACATGATATAGTATGTGGGGCTGTATTTAGAGATCTGAGGGTCTGGACCAAATCTAGGCAACCTGACCTCAACTAAAGTATGTCAAAATGAAAAGGAATACATAACTCCAGAGAATAAAGTTATTTTTATGTAAGGTTCTGAACTTTACAGAAGTGCCTTCCTTCCTTTCTTTCTCTGTCTCTCTTCTTTTCTTCCTTTCTCCTCTCTCTCTTTCTTCCTTCCCTCCCTCCCTGCCTTCCTCTTCTTCCTTCCTTCCTTTGTTTCTTTCTTTTCCTCCTTCCCTTCCTCCTCCTCCTCCTCCTCCTTCTTCTTCTTTATATGGGTCTCATGGTGTGACACCAGACTAACTTATAAATCACCACCTCCCTAGGCCACCAGAGTGTTTGAAATACAGGCATGTAACACTACACTTGGTAATATTATAACAGCTTTATAAACACCCATAATTCAATTCAAAGTTTTAGAGAGGGGTATTGGGTTGTTATATAGCTCTGTGCTAATCTCTGAAATGATGGAGGCTTTTTTTTCTCTACATGAATCAGATCCTGGGAAACAGAGGTTTTCATAGTCTATCATAATTCTCAATACTACCCCACAGTCCTGAGTGAATTATATAGTCTGTCATAGCCCTGAGTCCTCTACTTCCCCTCTACCCTTCAAAAAACAGTCTACTTTTCTACCAGGGAAAAAAAGGAGGACATCGGTTTGTGTCTGGGGAGAGTAAAGGAATTACTGAACTAGCAACAAACTGGATACATGTGGAATCAATATAATTTCCCATTGACTGGCTCAAAAATGTATTCAAATTATCTAGTTTTGAAAAGCTAAACATTGGAATTTAGTTTCTAATAGGTTTTTGGGATACTTTTCCTGATGAATATCCCCATTAGTGAATTTGAATAGCAAATTGCTTATAATCATACACAAGCGATCTTCATGTTTTATTCATGTTTCTAGAAGGGCACATGTGCTCTTGTGCCTCTACTGGGCAAGACTACTGAGAACCAGACAGACACCAAGGTACGAACAAACATCTCTATCCTGTCGACAGTCTCTTATTTTAGTATTTGCCTGTGGATTTGAATTCATTCCTGTGTAATCTGACTAATGGGCAAGATTTTTCTTAAAAAGATATATATGACTATGTTTAAGAATTCATGGAGTTTTCTATGAGTCCTTTGAAGCAATAAGTTAAGGTAAGTAAATGATAAATGCAGAGAGTCTGTCTAGAAGCATTCATGGGGTATAGCACCTCGAAATACAGCTCAAATACATTAGAACAGGACAGTTATTTACATTGGTGACATGTGAAGTGACATTTCACTTATGTGCTGAAAAATGAGGTTAGGGATAGAAAGTGACACATAGTTGATGTCAGAATTACAATGTATATTTATGCAAAGGACTCTCCAAGATGCTGAAAATATCACCTCTTTTGATTTTTCTTAACAAAGTTAGGTCTTATTATCTCTAATTTATGGATAAGGAGAATACTGAGTACAGGAAATAATGGAAACAGTACAAGGAAGACAGGATATATTGTGTGACTGAGGACTTGGCGTCCCATTAAAAATCTTAGCTCATGGGATGGGGAAATGAATGGGAGATGGGGATCCATGATGTGAGACATACAAAGAATAAATCAAAAGGAGGGAGAAGAACCTTAGGTCTACCTCTAAATGCCTCTGTGAGCTATAGCAATTAGGCTTAATTAGGCTTAGCCTCTTTAATGCTCACACCCATTCCTATGGTCTGGAAATGGCCTAACATGACTGCAAGAGCCAAAGTCAATGAGGAACTTGAAAAGCTCACTGAAATTTTCAGGAAGATGTGGGACTCCACCTTTGGAGATTGTACTTGGTGGTTAGTCCGTGTACACTTTAGTTCTCATTTTGACTCTTCACTGCAGCAGGGCATGCATTTCTGAGCTGTGTTGTTGCAGCCAGAGAATCCTTGTGGTGACAGGAACAAAGTGACTGCCACTAGTAAGAGTCACTAAACTCCTCCCCATGACCCAAATCATCCATAGTTCTCAAATGCTAATAATCCAATCATGCCGGTGTGTAGCAAGGATAGCATTGACATGGTACTGCTGTATGTATGATACATGCTTTGCTCTTAGGATTTCATGGACACATGGTCACCAGCTACAGGGCTCTTATCACCCACCGCATACGATCTCCTCAAATGTGAGATTGATTGTTGCCCAGCTAGAACATCTGCAAATCACAAGGGCTGTCCCTGATTAGGCTTGCTCCTAAAAAGGAGGAGTGGAGGACTGAGGAGGGACATTCTTTCTTCCATATTGCAAGAGTTGCAAGGAAAGCCCACAAAAAAAAAAAAAAAAAAAAAAAAAAAGCAGGAGGAGAAGTGACTGCCCTGTTTTCTAATTCCATGCACTCTAGAGGGAACAAGGCCACAGCAATGCCTGGACATCCAGGTCACTCTTCACTCCTGCACGGAAAATGCCGCAAGGGCCTCCACCTACCCACCCACCCACAGTTTATATTTAGTTCTGAAGACGAGTATTTGCTTGACAAAGACCAAACTCAAAGGGGTGGGACGGGAGGCCGGTGGAGCCAGGCAAGGGAGGAAAGAATTGGTGGTGGAGGAGCTGTAGAAAAACCTCTGACCTTGAAGTCCTCGCAGGGCAGCAACAGCAGCCTCCTGCTGACAGAGTTGAATTAGAATATAAATGCTTCCAAATATCTGTTGCCAGGAAGCAGATGACATGCTAAATTACTCTGCAGATTGACTACTTAATTCAGTGATTTCCGGGAGTCAGGAGTTGCCAGAAGAACCATTTTGTCCTTTCTGGCAAAAAGAGCCACGGGGACCGCTGTCTCCAGGCTGCTTCCCTCTGTTTCCTGCTGTAGGAAGGGCCTGTTTCCTGTAGAGGGACGCCTGATTAGGCGGCCCTATTTTAGAAGGCAGTAGCCTCGGTAACCCGTTAGGTCTCTCATTTGGTATTGGTTTGGATAGCGCGGACATCACAGGAGAACAAATTCTATCTTTAAAAAAAAAGTGCAATGGCTCAAAAGCGAACACAACAAGGGATGAGAGCTGCCCAGTTTTCATCTAAGCATTTGGAAGTATTTCGTTTGTTTTTGTGTGATGAACACTGTTTCCCTCCTAACACTTTTTCTTTTTCCAGAACTGGATTTTGGACAATGAGAGTAGTATTGGTCTGTGATCAGTTCTGACGCCGCTACCAAGGGAGTCTGATGCTGCTGAAGGCTGCCTTTGAGAGGGTGGCATCAAGGAGCCTGAGGTTCAAGAGGCCCTTGAGCCGCAGCCCGGATCGTTAAGGGTGCTGGGATCCGCTCAGAACTTCTTTTCTGTGCCCTTCAGCAACTCCTCTGCCTCACAAACCAATCCGAAAAGAGAATGACTATTAAACAATGCCAGGAAAGCAGTTAACCAATTGTAGGAAAACATCACTAGATTCTTACTTCATGTCAAGGACAGAAATAGATCAAGATGAACGAAATAATTGTGCCCACTAATGAAGCCAGTAAGCAACTGAAACAGAATTAAGCTGTTGTTTGTTTGATCCTGTTATGGAAATGAACTTTCCAAGAAAATAGAGGGAAACTTCAAAGGGAGGATTGCTACCATGGTAATGTCAGGAAAGAATATTTAGAAATGTGTCTATGTCTATGAAAATATCAACTTGTTTTTAATAAGCAGAATTACTGAATACATTTGGCAACATATACAACATAGTGTCACTATTATTCCATGAATTGAAAGGTAAGTAAACAACAAAAAATATAAAAGTGTTTAAGTATGAAGTAATAATAGCATTTAAAAATGTGTAGGTGGCTAATAAGCACCTCAAGGTCATTCCTTAATAATTAAAGGAATACAGACTAAACCAATATGATGCTGATATTTCCCCATCAAATCACAAATAGGGATAAATGCAAATACAATATTCTGAAGGACAATTTGGTGTATTTCTCAAAAGTCTTGAAGCATTATCCTTTGATTCAGAGATTCTATTTCTTACAAATCATCCTAAAAGAAATAATTGACACACAGAATGAATTAGAAGCAAGCACAGTCACTGGATACCGTGTCTTAATACAAGGAAAACAGCAAATGTTGAATACTGGGGAAATACATGAAACATGATTGAGCTGAATGATCACATGCAATGCAATCGTTAGAAGTCATGTTTCTAAAAATAATGACAAATGGAATCCTGCAAACTAATTTTCTTTTAAATAAGACAAAAAGCAGACTACAAAGGGATGTAATCTGAACACTGCAAGAGGTGGAGGGCATAGGCAAATTAGGAAAATAATGTGTGTATCAAGTAAGAAAATAACAGATGCCGGGCGGTGGTGCCACACACCTTTAATCCCAGCCCTCAGGAGGCAGAGGCAGGCAGATCTCTGTGAGTTCGAGACCAGCCTGGTCTACAAGAGTTAGTTCCAGGACAGCCTCCAAAATCACAGAGAAACCCTGTCTCAAGAAACCAAAAAAATAAAAAATAAAAAAAAAGAAAAAGAAAATTAACAGATGACCCAAAGCAGAAGTTAATGCAAGCTTGTCTTTTCTATGTTGAAGGATAATGGATATTTTATATGTTTTCCTATAGTTTTCTGGCTGCTTCGAAGTTTTATAGGTAGAAAGAAATCTCACAGTAGCTATTCCTTTATAGATTGCTGGTGTTGCTATTGTTATATTTAGGGCACACAGGAGCACAATGCTGGGTGCCGCAGGAGACAGGATTTGGGAGCAGGTTATGCCTATTGAAGCACAGGCCTTATTTGTTATTTCTAACTGGGACACGAGAGTGGCGGCAAAGTTGGTCAGGATTTGTTTTTATCAAATGCCTCTCCTAAATAATACCTTTAGCTTAGTTTACAAGGTCAACGAAAGGGCTGGTACCACACAGAATGTGTGCCGATTGGAGTATGGTCAGGGCTAGAAAGTGACCATCGAGGATCTGTCCTTCAGTAGAGCTGGTCCTCTGTCAGTCTGGCTCACACATGACTCACAGTGCAGAGAAGGAGGGAATCTGTATGGACACTGCATCCACACCGTCTGAGCATGGGCATTAAGAAGAGAAAGTCATGGAAAGCACATCCTGGAGAATGAGTTGCCCAGCATAGCAAACCTGATCAGGCATTTGTGCTGGCTGGCCTTTGGAGGTCTGACAGGATGCCCTCAGTTGCTGCCACTAAGAGCACCACCTGTGCCTATTTACTATGTTCCCTTCAAAAAAAGGTCCTGCCCACCTCCTTGCTCTCTCTCTCTCTCTCTCTCTCTCTCTCTCTCTCTCTCTCTCTCTCTCTCTCTCTCTCTCTCTCTCTCCCTCTCTCTCCCTCTCTCCCTCTCATCTCTCTGTTCCTGTCTCTGTCTCTCTCTCTCTGTCTGCCTGTCTGTCTGTCTCTCTCTCTCTCTCTCTCTCTCTCTCCCTCTCTCTCTCTGTCTGCCTGTCTGTCTGTCTGTCTGTCTCTCTCTCTCTCTCTCTCTCTCTCTCTCCTTCTGTCTCTACCTCTCTTTCCTCTCTCCTGCTGACTGCTCCTGTCCCCAGAGGCCAGTCTCCCCGCCCCCCATCCCTTTTCCCTTTTTATGATCCTTTTTCCACTAATAAAAACCCCATCCGCTTGAACTCTGTCACATGATGTCTCTCTCGCTCTGTTTTTTAAAATTACATCGACCAGTGTCACAGGTTGCATGACATTCATCAAGCAGAGATATGCCTTTCTGGTTTTGGCTGTGCTTGCTCTTTTGTGGGTTTGAAGGCAGGAAAGGACCTCAGGTTTTCTATTCCAAACTTTTGAACCCTGCTTCGCTTCATGGCCGACAGTGTAGAGCCTAAATGACGGATGCTTTTCAGTTTGAATGAATCAAATGTAATGCTTAGATCATGACATGTATTCAATGGTTTAAACAACACATACTCACACGCTCTCTCTTTTTTCATGATGCAACAATCATCTAGGAACCTGCCCCCAAGAACCTTCCCTTACCCAATCCTCTGCGGCCTCCTCTGTACTCATTTCACTCCTTCCTCAGCTATCAAACACTGATTCTGTTCTTTTCATGTCACTTACAGTTCATCTCTAATTCAAAGCAGTCCACTTTTTAAGTTTTGCTTTATGCAAAAGAGTCACAGACCTAGGCACTATTTCGTATCTGTCCATATCATGGCTTATTGTTATCCTCCATTTTCTCTTGTTTAAATTCTAAAGACCTACTGTTTAAATTCTAAAGACTTACGGTTTCCACTCAGCGTTCTAATGACTTGTTATTGATTTTCAGAAAGAGGTGTTTTCCTTCACTTCAAAGCAAACCAGGCTTCATATTAGTCTCTCAAAATCCAATGGTAGTGTCTCCTGAATCATATCAAAGCAACTGACGAAGCATAAGAGCCAGACAAACACAACATGTTCAATATCGATGCTATGTACCCTCTGATACCTCAGAACTAGGAGCTTGATTAAGAAAAGAAAGGTCCACATCCGTTCGCAACTTATTCACTTCCCAATCAAACTTGAATATTTCTACCTGCAGACTTCTAGAGTAACCAGTCAACATATGATGGGCCTGAGCCTTTTTATCAGATAGAAGAAAAGTACCAGCATCAAAGATCACTGAGGAAAGTTGTGTTCTACTAATTACCACTTTGCTTGTATCTCCAGGTTCAGTAATTCAATTCCAGTTGTCCTGGACAGGGCATTTCCAAAGGAGAATCTCTCTCACATGTTTCTCTCCATTGTAAATGATGTAACATTTGTCATTATTATAAGAAGAAGAATGTTAAAGTAACCACTTTAGATAAGAAAATGAGAATTTTTTAGAAGTCTCTCTTTCCTTAGTCATCCTCCCCACCGCAAAATCACATCCTTTTTATTATTATCTACAATAGTTCTCCCTCAACCCCAGCTTCTAGGAGACAGCAAATGGGGTTTTAACCTCCTTTATGTTACTGAAGCAGGACCAGTGGTTGCATCAACTGCCCTCTCACCCACATTCCTGCATTGTCTTGCCAGCACTGATTTTTATTTTAGTTGCAGCGGGTATCTGCGAGTGGGCTCTGTACTTCCTGTCTCTGAATTTATTTTTGCTGTGCTTTGGACAATAGTGTTGGACGCTGGTGTTTGAAAACATAAAGGATAAAGATTAGAGTATTCCCAGACTTTAAAATAGCAGTTGTATGTTCTAACAACTTCCTGTCAAATGGAAGACTACTGATGATACCCTTATAAAGGCAAAACTTCACCTTCAGTTACCAGCCTTTGCAGGCTGGTCTTTGAAAAAGGCATCGGGTATGATTGGTAGCCCATTCAGCTAACACTACTGCTGACCGCTAGGAATTCATGCGCTCTGGGGAAACTTGGTGCTGAAAGCAGGAGTTTTTGTAAATTGTTCTGCTGAAGTACAGGGACCATGCTCAGCAAAAGCCACAGACCATTTAAGTATAAGCCTGAAACACTTGTTAGGTGCTGTGGAGAAGTGGGGTATCTGTCTCATTTCTACTAGACCTTGAATTAACTTTAAAGCTATTATAACTGAATAGAATAGGGGACTTTCTCGAGTAAGGATTTGGTCCTTGAGCCAGAGCACATGGAAAAGAGGAAAAAATGTGGTGGTGAACGCCTTTAATCCCAGCATTGGTGGGAGGGGGAGCAGAAGCAGGTGGATCTCTGTGAATTTAAGGTCAGCCTTGACTACAGAGGGAGTTCCAGACAGGTAGGACTGTTTCACAGAGAAACTCTGTCTCAAAACAAACCAACAAAACAAATACTTGTAAAATTGCAAATGATGAGGTCAGGAAGAGGCAAGTCCCAACTGGGATAAGTACTAATTTATAACTAGATGATGCATGAGACTTTGAGAATCTGATATCCCCAAGTATTGGAAATGGTAAGGCTCAATAGGCTCTAGGCCCTGTTGTTAGAAGGAGAGGCTGTTACAATCCCTTTAGGAAACAATCAGATGCTATCTCATGGAGTCGAGCCCCATGCGTCCATTACCTCAGCAATTCTCCTGTAACTCATATATCAGAAAGAGCAGGCGTGTATTAAAAATGTGGAGCAACATTGCTCACAACAGTAAAAAACTGGGAAATCGTCCCAGTGGCCATCAGCAAGGAGCAGATATATCATGACCCAGTATCCCTGTAAAAGTCTGGAGACTAAAGTCTTTGGTGTTTGAATGCCGGGTTCTTCCTCCAGCTTTTAGCTACAGTTACCTGTGCAGTTCGGTGTGGATGGAATCATCCAGGAGGGCTCCCTACATCCAGGACTGTAGGGAGGGGGCAGGCACTTCTGTTTTATTCTTTGGGCTCATTGGGCAGTCATGGAACTGAGAAGATGGAAGGGCGGCACACATGCCTTTTGGGAATGGGTGTATAGGAAAGACAAGACTGCTTGTTGAAATGAGTCCCTTCTGTAGGCACAGCACTTGCTTTGTAAGTCTATCCAATATCACATAGCATAAATATGCCGCTACACCTTCCTCTCTGGCCCCTAAAACAATACTAAGGAGAGGCTGGCTTTGTAAGTCTATCCAATATCACATAGCATAAATATGCCGCTACACCTTCCTCTCTGGCCCCTAAAACAATACTAAGGAGAGGCTGGCTTTGACCTGGAGAATTCAGGATAGTCACTCTATTTGACTGGAGTTAATGTAAACTATAAATAACTTATTGATAATGCCTGCATGTAATTACAACTATATGATTATATAAAATTACAACTATGGTTTCCATACTGGAATTTTAACCCAGGTATAAACTGGGATACTAATTATATTTTTTAGCATTTTTACTATAGATTTATCATAGAACTGTTGGTGTTCTGGAGAAGAAAACAATAAGTCATTGTATATATATTTTAAATCACTACTTTTGGTTTCTGGAGTTTCATAGTTATAGTAAAGAAAAAAACCTGACCAAACTTAACATAACAGTTTGCCTTTCCTGAAAAACAAAAAGTGGTGGGAAAAGTAACTTCTAAACTGCAGTTAAAAAAGAAGAAAAATGCCAAAGCCATTGTTCCATTTATCTGTAAAAACCTGTGGTTCAGCTACTTCAAAAGCAGCATCACTAGACCTCTGCTCTTGACTCTGTGTGATTCCAGTTAAAAAATGGATGCCAGTGATAGCTGGGAAATGGTAGCCCCTAAAAAAATGTGTTCTGACACTGGCTGGGGATCAAAAAATGTCCTAGTTTCTGAAATGAGAAGTTTAGATTACACAGACCACAAAGCAAAAACTTTGTGTTGATACTAGAAAATAACTTTGGACTTGACTGTCATTATGAGCTATAGACAGGACAGAGGGGTCATGCAGTCAAAGCAAGATAAATAAGACATCTCGCTTCCTTTTGATAGTGTCCCCGAGCAAGCAGATTGAGCAACTCATGATGTCTTGATGACTCTGCAGCTGGGTGGGAGGGCACATATTTTTGAAACCAAAATAGCTTGCCAGGATGGAACAATGGGCCAAATCTGACATGATAAAAAGTAAAAGGGAGAGATAAAAAGACTGCCCTTAGTTCCAGAAAATTAGTACCACAAACACGGGAGAGTGGGCAGACTGTGAGCCCAACCGGCAGGTTGAAGCATGCTATATTCTGCACATAGGTGCCTGGCTGAGGGCATGAATAGCAGCTCTGTCCATCCCAAGCGGGGGTGTTTTCCTAAAGCAGAAGGGTGTATGTTTGAAACAACATGCTTGGAGCTTTGGTTCACTGTGAATTCTGAGTTACTACTGAATGGTTTGCCAAGAACCGATGAGGTCATTTCTCCAAATGCATGTCCAGAGCAAAGGCAGTCAGTATGTCCAACTCAGCTGAACATGCGGACGGTGGAAAGAGGACTGTGGGAAACCGGAAGAGAAAGGGACAAGCTCTTTAGCTGTGATCTCCGAGAAATGGGCATAAGAAGAGAGGACATTAGTGTGAAGAAGGGAAGGCAGAAGTGTCATGATTGTCCTCCACCCGCAAATCGGCCATGGTTATAGGACGCCAGCGAAATGAGAGTGGCAAAGACCAAAGGAATTAAATCTTTATGTATATATACTCGCGCGCGCGTGCGTGTGTGTGTGTGTGTGTGTGTGTGTGTGTGTGTGTGTGTCTGTACATGGAAGGAGAGTTAGATGACAGACGGATGGATGGATACATAGCTAGATAGATACAGGTGACCTGGGTTTGATCTCTGAAGTTCATAATAGAAACAGGAAACCAACTCCCAAAAGCTGTCCTCTGACCTCCCACCATGTACTGTGGTGCATACATAGCTGTACACACTCATTAATCACACCTCTCTCTCTCTCCCTCTCTCTCTTTTTCTCTCTCTCTCTCTCACACACACACACACCCCTACTACTACTAATATAATGAAATGTTTTTTTTATTTTGACTTTTAAAATTAACAAACAAAACAGGAAAAACTTCAGAAATACCAAATTTTCTTTATACTCTACAATTTGATATTAAAAGTTTTAAATTACACCTTCTGACCAATAGAGGCGATCATAATCTCTTTAAAGCTAGGATTTCTAGACTAGTAAGACCATACACATGGAGAACATGTTATCAACTTCACTTGTTCCACAAATGGAATGGACAAGATGCGGTGCAGTGTGGTTGAAGCGGCTGAGACTGAGCCTAGGGACCACTGTGTGGGCAAAGAGACGACCTCGGCATAAGAGGCTGGGGTCAGATGGTTTTAGATTCCTTCTCAGGTGGAGATTGTTTGAATATGAGAAAAGCAACTTCCTTAGAAAGAGGAAAGCTGAAACCACCATGATCTTTTGTCCAAACCTCCAGAAATGAAGAGAGAACCATTAGGTTGTAGCACCGGAATCAGGGAAGTGTCCTTCCTTTCCTTCTTCCTGCTTCCTGTGGAGTGTTTGCCCATCATCTTCTCAGAAATCCCACCATCAGGTGTGACGTGACAGTGCTCAAAGCTGGGACCTCAAATTCCTCTTGCCACAATTGCAAATTGTTCTCCTGTAGACCCCTTGCCCTCCATCGTGGACTACATCCACTCAAGACAGTCTTCCAAAAAACAAACCAAAACCAAAACCAACCAACCAAACAAACAAACCTCCACCCCTCGGTGTCTGCTTCTCAGATAGTTAGTCACAGTGATGACAAAATCAACGCACACACCTAGTTGTACGTGGACGCTGTTCATTGTTGGACAGAGCACAGCTGTTGTGAAGCAAATAAAGAACAATCAAAGCTATGCAAAGTCCACCACATTCCAGACAGGCTCTCGCTTTTTCCAGGTTGGCTCTTAATCTTGTGCGGTATATCCTGGTGAAAGGAAGTGAAATCCCCAACAAAAGCACCCTTAAGGAATAAGAAAACCTATGCCCTACAACCACGCAGTGGAGAAGTTTCATCTTTGGTACACCTTTCTAGTTACCCCAAAGATGTAACATAAACGATTCCTGAAATTCCCTCTGGAGACTCGGAGGAAACATATTCTGTGTGGGCAGCCGAGGCAGTCACAATCGCTTAGTTTTGATAATTTACCTTGAATTTCTCTAAGAACTTCTGCCTCGTGGTGGCTTTGCATATGAGGGTACTGTTCTGACTTTAGATGAGGCTCCCTAAGTCTGAACAAGGAGCCTGAACTCCTTGCTCTAAGGCAAGGATCACGTGGTTGGAGCAGAATTTCACAGCAGGGCTGACCTGGAGCAAACAGGGTCACGGAGACTTGCTGTGTCAGGAGAGTTAGGTCCAAGTGAGGGCACTTGAAGACCATGAGCTGTCCTTCCACAGTGGGGGAGGATTATATAATAGCACAGCTTGGGCAGTGGGGTGGTTTTAGGCGCAACATTCTCCCTTGCTGATTGGCTCCATGCCTATGGTTGGTGAAGTCTAGGGCAGGCTTATGCCAGTCACATTAAACATTACATTGTTAGTGGAGTGAATCACTGGTGTTTTGTACCATACAGATGTGTTAGGCAATACGAACCTTGAACTTTCATTCCTTAATCTAAGTAAAGCTGCCCCTCTCGTCCCACATGGTTATATAACTTGGCTACTTAAGGCTTTGTGTATGTGTGTGAGACTCCTTTGTTGCTGCTAAGCTTCCCTATGGTTACCCCTTATCTTGGGCATTACATAAGCTCCTTGAGAAGCCACATAATGTTTTATGTGTCTTAGACTGTGTGCTACAGTACTGGCTGGTAGCTTGTCTAGTCTTGGGCATGTTACCATGAGAATTATTATGTACCTGTGGGAAAACACAACACAAGGACGCATTTGGCAGGGAAAAGGGAGAGCAAAAACAGTGAGAGAGGGAGGAGAGAAGGAACAAATGGAACTAACATAGGAAGGGTAATGTAAGACTATAAAAGCGTAGAGCCGGAGGTGCCCAGTGTGGTGCACAGGTGTTTCCTAGTCTGTGGACTTGGAAGACAAGAATAGACAATTCAGGTACACTCAGGGTGATTCCTGTACTCTGATACACTTGCTTAAGGGTTTACATGAATCCCAGGCTTTCTGTGTAATCCCGGTGAAGCATGTAACTTTACTTCAGTTAACAATGTTTGGTTTTTTTTGTTTTTGTTTTTTGTGTTTTGTTTTTTTGTTTTTTGTTTTTTTTTTTTGGCCAGGCTCTGAAAGAAAAACCCTATCTTTTGGTGTCTCTTTAGTTACATATGTGAATCCTGAAATTCCTTCCACCGCCACAGTTGAACTGTAAAAATCTGGAAAAAACATGGTTGCACTAGGTGTTGCTATAAGCCCTTCCCTGTATGTTGTGATCACCATGGCACCACTCATTACTTCCGGGCAATGTGGATCGAAAGTCCACAATGTCTTTTGACCCAGGGACTAAACTCTTAATGTATAACTTTACAGACATGTAACTCCTTAAAGAAACACTCAGGAATCCGGCCCGTGATGGTGCACACCTTTAACCCCAGCACTTAGGAGGCAGAGGCAGGAGAATCTCTGTGAGTTCGAGGCCAGCCTGGTCTACAAAGCTTCACAGAGAAACCCTGTCTCAAAAACAAAACAAAAACAAAAAAGCACTCAGGAGACTGAAATTCAAGGACAGCCATGAGTTCAGGGTCATCTTGGGCCCCATAGTGAGTTCCAAGCTAGTATGGAATACAGAGTGAGACATTGTATTAGAAAAAAAATGAAACTTGATGTAAAGTGAGTCATTAAAAATAGGAAAACCATTAAAGGAAAAATAGTGGCAAGTGTCACAGTGAATTATAGATCCTCCTTAACTGTCTTTGCCTGGTAGATGGTAGATGTATGTTTCCAGAGCGTTACCTCTTTCTTCCCGTCTCCATGCTCAAGCCCATCTTCTTTAGTCTGGATCATGGAACAGCCACCAAAGCATCCCTTGCACACAGCCTATTAAGTGCTGCTTGAGCGTTTCAAAAAGATAGCACGGGCCGGGCGTTGGTGGCCTTTAATCCCAGCACTCAGGAGGCAGAGGCAGGTGGATCTCTGTGAGTTCGATACCAACCTGGTCTACTGAGTGAGTTCCAGGACAGGCTCCAAAGCAATACAGAGAAACCCTGTCTTGAAAAACAAAAACAAACAAACAAAAAAACCCAAAACAAACAAACAAAAAGATAGCACGGGTGTCTGCTTTCATAGAGACTGCGTTGTTGGGGAAGGAATCACCAAGTGCACAAACAAATTCACAGTTTGAGTTAAAAGGGGACAAGTGTGGGGCTCTGGGATGAGCAATATTACCACCTAGGAAGACTTCCTTGCAGAATTAATACATAGTTTTAGCTTCAAAGATGGCTAAGAGCAGGTCTAAAGGGGGTGCTAGCTCTCAGGTACAGGGCAGAACACTCCAATTGGTTCTTTAGCATCAAGGAGATTTGAAAGACTGAGCATGCACTTTGCTGGAGGTAGGAGATGCTGATGTGGGAGGCAGGTTAGAACCCACAGAATCTTGAAAGTTGGAAGGATTTCTGTCTCTTCTTGGCTATTGCCCTCTATCCTTCGGAACTCAGTTTGTGTGTTTTCTTCTCCCTACAGTTTTCCTTGCTATCTGTCCACACTCTCATTAGTGAGCCGTGTTCAGGGCGTGACCTTATTAAACAAAACCCAATGTGATACAGTTGTCCCTCTGTGTTCTCAGGCATCATCACATGCGTGGATTTAAACTGCAGGCAAATAATATGTTTAGTGTTCTATCTGAGCGGAGTGTGGATGACTATGTGGTACTTACAGTATACTAGGTATTATAAATAGTGTACAGATTATTTAAAATATGTAGATTATCTGTAAATACTGTCAGACTTTTATATCTGCAGAACGACCCAGCACCAACCTCCCACAGATATTCAGGAATGAGTGTCCTATACTAGACACATATTTACCTGGATTTGGTGGGAGTTTCCTGAGGGCAGGAACCAGATGTTATTCAAATATAGGATCTTGCATTAAAGTTTTCCCAGTACTCTAATTCAGGGAGAAAATGCAATGGCAGTAAATGCATGGTGATATTACTGGAAGAAAAATAATGAAAGATAGAGGTAATCTTCAGCATAAAGATTTTTAAATTAATTCTAACTAAAAATGAATTCAATATTCCTAAACCCTTAAATGCTATTCATAATTTTATTGAAGTAGCAGAATGACTAAGCAATTTTTAAAATTATTCTTGCCCAGAGGGGAAAATAATTTTATTTTTAATATTTGTTCTGCAGAAAGTGTATGAAGGTATGCAACATTTTACAGTTAAAAAAAATATTGGTCCAGTAAGATGTCTGAATTTAATCTCCAGAACTCCTGTGGGAGAAGGAAAGAACTGACTCTCAGAAGCTGTCCTACGACTCCCTACCCCATTCCCCAAAACCCATACTGTGGTTTATGGATACTTAGAATTAAATGAGAAATGATTTCTATCATAATCATCCCCCTATTCTAACCACACGTATACCAAGCAGGTAAATGACTGAGAAGACTTGAGGATATTTAGTGAAATAGGGAATTATATTAAATCATGAAACTAAAATTGTATGACAGGTAACTAACTTTGCACTAGCCTTGGTGACTAAAGTCAGGCAGATTAAGTAGATCTACTGTTCTCCAGCCTCTCCTCTGCTCTCTTCCAGCTTCTCTCTCCCCTGCTGTTAACTCTCAGTGTGATCAGTGTCTCCTCCTTACTGCTGGTTCTCAGCACAGGCTCCCCAATGGCTGCCACGACCACTGGACCCCTGCCAGAGTCTACTGGCCAGGGCTTCAGGGATCCCAGTCTGCCTGCTGGTGGCTGTCCTTCACACGCTTTGACAGTCCCTGCCCTTCGTATATTTGAAAAGACTCTAGTTCAAATTACAAGGCACTCCTGGACCCCATTTCAGCAAGTAAGCCATCTTTGCCTCTGGGAATAAGTTAAAAGCAGACATTAAGTTACTATCAAATCGTGCCTGTTTCTACCAGGCTTCTGGAACTAGACTTTGTTAGCTTTAAGTAACCATGACCACTGCGGACTTTTCCACTCTGATTATGTGCAAATCTAATCTGCTATGCAGCGGACACAAAGAACACCAAGAATTCAGCTGTACAGTATGCAAATCAACATACTATCTCTAACAGGACAGGGGCACTAATGAACTCACAAGTCCTTTAAAAAGTACAAATATTCCAAATACATTTTGAAGGCTTTCCTGAATTCTAACCTCCTTTTTGTATGTATCTCTCCATGTTCACTCTTTTTTTTTTTTTTTTTTTTTTTTTTTTTGGTTTTTCGAGACAGGGTTTCTCTGTATTGTTTTGGAGGCTATCGGTCCAGCCCAGCCTTGAACTCACAGAGATCCGCCTGCCTCTGTCTCCTGAGTGCTGGGATTAAAGGCGTGCGCCACCACCGCCCGGCTTCCATGTTCACTCTTAAGACAAGACAAAACAAACAATAATAACAAAAAGTAAAACAAAGTGCAAAACCTCTCAAAATCATTCCCTCATCTTAAAAACTGGGCCTATTCTCATAGTCCTTAGTTTCTCCCTCTTAAACTCCTCTATGAATTTTTCATCTCTGGGTGAATGAATGAATGAATGAATGCTGAGTAGGAGACTGAATATTCAAATGCAGTTCTATTTTAAGCAAGGTCAAGTGAGTTGCTAAGAGGCAGATTCTGCCTCAAAGGCATGATTTTTTTTCTTTTCTTTTTTTTCCCTGTTGCCCTCATTATTTCTAGAGTTGAATTGGAGATGGAGCCAGAGGCCAGCCCAATCCCAGCCTCCAGGGAAGATCTGATGGGGCAATTTATGCCATGAGGATGAGATGTTCAGAGTCAGGTTATAGTTACCTGTACTTGATGGCTGGTTTTGCTGTAGCAATCATCTGTGCTTCCTAAGACAAATGATTTCTGTCCACTTGGTATGCATGATATAGTCGTTTATATACAATTTGTCAAATACAAATATGGAATGATCAACATTCGACAAACTTAATCCCGCCTTCTGAAACCTTATAGCAGCCATTTATAACTTTAGTGAGATAGCAAAATAAGAAGGTGATTTTTAATTATATTTGCCCCTAGGGGAAATCAATAGAGAGTCCTTAAATTTCTGTTTGGATAATACCATGGATTTTGTAATATAAGTAACTAACAAGCAGAGAAATACAGAATAATGGTAAGTATAAGAGAAAGATGAACAAAGAGTCATCATTATGTGCTTACAAATGCTTATTCTTTCTTTCTTTTTTTTTTTTGGTGGCTAATACTTTCAAAAGTTCATACTCAGGTTAACAGGGTAAAGGGTG